ATGATAAAGTACTAATCACACACACACACACACACACACACACACACACACACACACAGAGATGCACTTAGATTTCAGACACAATTTTTACACTAGCACTCCAGATGTATTATTTTTAGCTATGATATGAGGTGAGAAATTAGCTGCATTTCTTCCACATGAATTGCCCTTTATGCTACCACAATTTCTTTACTGTTAATGTATCACATTTCTAATCACTAATTCTGAGGTTGGACCTGGACCTCACACAAGAACTTTACCAAATAAGTTATACCCCAAGTCCTTTTGTTTTTGAAATAGAGCTCCACTAACTTTGCTTGGGCTGGCCTTGAACTCTTGATCCTCCTTCCTCCATCTCCCAAGTAGCTGTAATTACAGGAGTGTGTGATTTGATTTGTAAAAGCTAAATGAATTCAACACCATTAGGATTTTGACTGAAATTAGAATTAAAGGTAGAATGCTACCAGCTTTATAAATATACCCATTACAGAATGCATTTTTTTTAGTCCTGCCAGTCGAAAGAAGAAGAAGAAGATGGAGAGTTCTCTTTGGTTTGCTACCCCAGAGTTAGTTGGCACAGAGCAGTAAGCACCTGGATGGTGGGAATTCCTCAGAGTCAGATGCTTTGAACACATTCGCTGCTAACTGCATGTGGAGCCCTGGGAAGGAGGGCAAATTGAAGGAAGATCTTTAGAAGCTCTGGGACTAGAGGCAGATGCAGAATCACCACACATGAGAATCAAGAAATTTAAGATCACAGATGAATGATGTGTAAAAATAAAAACTAGTAAAAGTAGCAACAATAACACACCCTCTCACCCCACTCCCGGAATTTGGCAGAAGCCACTTTTTTGTAAAGTGTATGAAAAATGACATTTTTGGTAGTAAATGGGGGAGGGGAGAAACACCTAGAAAAGAAAGTGTTGAAATAGACTGAAAATCTCAGTGGAGCCGGGCGCCAGTGGTTCACACCTATAATCCTAGCTACTCAGAAAGCTGAGCTCTGAGGATTGCGGTTCAAAGCCAGCCAAGGCAGGAATGTCCATGGGACTCATCTCCAATTAACCACCAGAAAAGCTGGCGCTGTGGCTCAAGCGGTAGAGCGCTAGCCTTGAGCTGAAGAGCCTAGCCCAGAGTTCAAGACTCACAACCAAAGAACAACAAAAAATCTCAATGGATGGGTTAAAATAATGTACCACAGGTTACAAATAATAATAAATGAGGTAGGCCTGAGGTTGTAGTTCAATGGGAAAACATTTGCTTTGCATGCAAAAGGTCCTGGACTCAACCCCCAGCACCGTACACACAAGAAGTGAGCCAGAAGATAATGCATCCCAATAAGTATATCAGGATATAGCACAGAGAAAAAAGGAAGATGTAAATGAGATGAGAGATGACAGATGATGCACAGTCAGATCCAACCTGCTGCCTTGCTTTGTAAAGTTTTATTGGTACACAGTCATCCATTATTTACATGATGTCAGTGGCTGCTTTGGTACAATATATGGTAGAGTGCCTTGACTGACAAATCTCATGGTCCTCAGAAACAAAAAGATTTACTGTCTGTCCACTTGTTGAGAAAGTGTGCCATCCCCAGCCAGATCTTCAGAATAAAAGGAAAGGCCTCACACACACCAAGTGAAAGTCCCTGAAAACAACCAGTAGAATAAGAGGATCGTTTTCCAGGAAACAGTAATTGTGATTTCCTTAAAATCTCAGGAGATGTACTTTCACACCTAAGACATTTCTCAGTGGTCACCACAACACCCCAGAAACAAAGATTTTGCTAGTAGTCATGGAAAAGAAACTAAAGAAGCTTGTTTTTATTTTACCAAATAGAAATAAAAATGCGTTATCAGCCACAATAAGCGATGCGAATAAACCTTCAAAGTTTTGAGAGCAAAGTAACTGCTGGGCTGAATGGTAGAGAATTTTGGAGGGCTATGGTTTTCCCATCATTAAACATGCATACAGGCTGGTGGATCACGCCTGTAATCCTAGCTACTCAAGAGTCTGAGATCTGAGGATTGGGATTCAAAGCCAGACTGGACAGAAATGTCTGAGACTCTTATCTCCCATTAACCAGCAAAAATTTGGAAGTGAAGGGGCTAGCCTTGAGCACAAAAGCCAAAGGGCAGTGCCCAGTTGCCCAGTTCAAGGCCCAGTTTGGGGGGGGGGAGGGGAGCAGGCTGGGGGAATGAATGCCTGCCTTCATCTCACTATTTAGTTTTTCATTTTGCATTTATATATAAGTTTTCTCTCCTGTTTCTGTCAGAGCCCTTTGAATCACCACTGGTTATCAGGAACTGTTAAGTGTTAAGTATGAAGATACTTCTTAATAGGGTCTGCTCCTGTTTTTCCATGAACAGTTGATGCTATGTGAGCATGTAGTGTCTACCCATCCTAGCTGAAGGCCTCTCTGCAGGAAAGTGTGCTGACAGGCTCTAAGTGGTGTCATTTTCCTGCTGGAGTGAGGGAAGGAAAAGCTGTTTGCAAGTCACTGCTGACCACAGGCTTCTTTCATATTGAGATCAAATGTCTAGGTGTCCACAATAAGAATATTATGAAGTACTTGTGCTGTTTCTGATTACCCTAGGCTTTAATTAAATAAAAAAGGAAAGTGGGGTAGAGGTGGGAAGTGCTGTCAGCCTGGAATTCTGAACTCAGTAAAACTATCAATGTGAGAGTGCAATTTTAAAAAAAAAGTTGCCACAAAAAGTGTTTTATCCTAAAGGAAATGTATAAGGGGATATTCAATGGTTCTGGAAAGAAGACAGTGTGAATGCTTTGTTCCATTCTTACACCACATGGTCTGGTCTCTAAGGTTGAAGGAGCACAGAAAGATGGCTTCAGAGGATAGCACAGGGAGCTTGTAATGGCCAGACTTCCACTCACATCCTTACACCCTTCCACTCACATCCTGCTCACCAGAACTCAAAAGACCTGGCCCCAACCAATTACAAGGTTCCAAATTGCCCAGCGACACCCTGGCCCGCCACTTACAGGCTCTTCACCGTAGAGGCATTGTAGATGGCTAATGAACACGAGGAGACGTTCAGCTTCCGTAATATCATGGCCATAAGTGATCATAATCTTTACACAGCAAATTAGCTAAAATGATATTTCTGTTAACTATCAGGATCTGTGGGAACTCGTGTGGACATAAGTACAATCTCATGTGGACATAAATACAATCATTCTGTAAAGCAATTTGACATTATTTTGTAAAACTGAATAGGTGTATCATCAAAAAGCCAATTCCTTCCAGCTTCCTGCCCTAGAGAAATCATTACAAGCCAGGAAGACACGCGTATAAGAACACACAAACAGTGTACAAACAAGAGTCATAATAGGAAGACCAACTCAATACCTAGATATCAAACAAATGGAACAGGGATTGCAGAAATAAAAGAATATGATACAGGTACAATCCAACAGAGGAAGGATGGACCTTTCAAAAAATAGCACTGGATATCCATGAGGATAAGGGTTGGGAATCACAACCTAATGTCATGCTTAATTAAAAAAAAATGAACCCCAAATGGAACATGAACTTGTATATAAAATACAAAACCATAAAACTGTATGGCTAGTCAAAGAGGTTTTTTTTGTTTTGTTTTGCCAGTGGTGGGGCCTGAACTCTAGACCTCAGCTCTTCAGCTCAAGGTGAGCGCTCTACCACTTGAGCAACAGCGCCACTTTCAGCTTCTGCTTATGTGGTGCTGAGGAATCGAACCCAGGGCCTCATGCATGCAAGGCAAGCATTCTACCACTGAGCCACCTTCCCAGCCCTAGCAAAGAGTTTTTAAGACATCCAAAGCATGGTTTACAAATGGAAAAAAATGACCAACTTTATCCTAATGAAAACTTTTCTTTGAAGAGACAAGCTACAGACTAGGGGGGGAATACTTGGGAGGGGGGATCACATTATGTACAATAGTATTTTGCAAACCAGAAGCTTTCAAGAAAACCGAATTAAAAAAAAAGTAGCTGTGGATGTAGATCAGTGCTGGAGCACTCATGCAATGGCAGGGTTTCAAATCCTTCCAGAAAATGAAAGTTTGGAAACTGTTGACAAAGAAGACTATACCCTGAAATTCTGCTGCCAGCTCATGGATGGCTAAAATTAAAAAGACTTTTTTTGTTGTTATTGTTTTCTGTTTTAACAATCTCCAGTGATTTCAAGAATGCGACTAACACAGATTGCTGCTGGTATTTCAAAATTATGCATCCACTTGTGTGTGTGTGTGTGTGTGCGTGTGTGTGTGCGCGTGCTAGTTCTGAGACTTAAACTTAGGACATGGGCACTCGCAGATTTTTTTTTATTTGCACAAGGCTGGTGCTCTACCACTTGAGCCACACCTTTACTTAAGGCTTTTTTTCTAGTTAATTGGAAATAAGAGTCTCATGGACTTCTCTGCCTTATCTGGCTTGGAACAGTGATCCTCAGATCATAGCCTACTGAGTAGGTAAGATTACAGGCCTGAGCTGGGCCACTTTTTTTAAAGTAAGAATCAAACTCAGGGCCTCAAGCAGGCCAGGCATAGATCAGCTCTTACAAGTAGCTACACCCCCGGCCCTGTGCAGTCTTTTTGAAAACCTACTTGTTTTCCATAGTCAAAGGTGAACTTGTCACCTAACCAAGCCAACCCGTTTCTCCCTGTTTACCTGGAGGGAATGTGCGTGTGACAGTTTGTAGAGCAAGATTATTCCTAACAGCCCCAAAGTAGACGGAAAAAAAAATAAAGTTAATATTCCTTAACTGAGGATAGGATCAAGACACCTGAGCTGGGAGCCCATTGACACAGATTTCTTCCTAAGAAAGGGACTTTGTGAGAACAGAAGCAGCCGTTTGCCAAGGGCGGGACGGTGGCCCTGCTCTGGGGCTAGAGACTCTGGTCCTAAACATTGTCACCTTTAGGAGATATATACGTATGTATGTATGTGTATGTATGTATGTGTGTGTATGAATGTATGTATGTTCTTATACATACACAATAATGACCCCACCTTTCCCTCCAGGGGCCAAGCCAGCCGGGCGCTGGGGTCGCCCGCACCTAGGTCGCACCGCCCGCGGGGGCGTCTGCGGTGCTCCGCACGGTGAGTCTTGCTTTTATTTTTGGCCACAGTTTTAGCGATGGGCAAACAGATCGCGGAAGAAGCCCGCAGACGCCCCTCGGCGGCGGCTGGGATGCGGGCTCTGTGAGCCGCGGGCAGGCGGAGGGCCCGGCGGAGGCGCGCGGGGCCTCGCGGGCGCGGGGCCTCGCGGGAGGCGTGCGGGGCTTCGCGAGCGGCCGGGAGCAGGTGGAGGCGCAGGCGCGCGGGACCGCGGCGCGCGGGGATCCGGTGGAGCGCGCGGGGGCGTGGGCGCGGGAGCGAGGACCCGGCGGAGGCGCGCGGGGACCCGGTGGAGGCGCGCGGGGGCGCGGGCGCGGGAGCGAGGACCCGGCGGAGGCGCGCGGGGCCGCAGCGCGCGGAGACCCGGCGGAGGCGCGCGGGGGCCCGCGGCGCGGGCGCGGGCGCGGGCGCGGGGATGGCGGGGCTGCGGGGCGGCCGGCCGGGCCTGGGGGCGGCCGTGCGCTCCCTGCTCTTCTGGGCGCTTGTCTACGGCTACTGCGGGCTCTGCGCCGCCGTCCACCTGCTCAAACTTTTGTGGAGCATCGGCCGGGGGCCGGCGCGGACCTTCCGGCGGGCGGCGCGGGAGCAGCCCCCCGCCTGCCTCAGCGACCCCTCGCTGGGCACCCACTGCTACGTGCGGATCAAGGTGAAGGCCGTGCGGGAGGGGGCCAGAGGGGGGAGCCGGCGCGCGGGGTGGGGGTGGGGGGCAGAGGGGAGATCCGGAGCGTGTGCCTGGTGTGTGTCGTTGTGTCCTCTGCTTAGTGTATGTGAGAGAGACAGACTGACAGAGTGAGCGCACGGCCGTCCCTGCGCGCAGGCCCCCTCGGCGGGCTTGCGGACGCGGGGTCCCCGGGCGGCCCGCAGCCGTCCCCGCTTCCTTTCCTGCCCTCGCCCTTTTGCCCTTTGGCGCGCGGGGCCGCGGTCGGGCGCCGACCCCGGGGCTGCGCCGACCCGGGAGCCGCCCCGACCCCTGAGCTAGGACGAGGCGGCCCGTGGAGTCGCTGCGATCGGGTCGCCGGGCGGGGAAGCCGGGGAAGCGGCAGGCGGGCGGCAGCGACGCTCGCCACCGAGCACCGAAGGAGTGGACTCCGGAGTCAGTGTCGGCCGAGCGCCACGACCCCGATGGTTCCGGGCCCCGGAGCTCCGGGCGGAGGCGGGAAAGCGCGCGGGGCTGGGGCACCGCGGGAGCCCCGCGGGACGCGCAGAAAACCCGCCCGGAACCGGGGTCCGGACCCAGCGAACATTTGCCACAAAGAGACAAACTTGGAACTTAGCGCACAGGATCACTACAGTTGTTCATTAAATCCAGTCCGTCCCCCAGCATTTCATCCTCCGAGGAGGGGGGGGGGGGGAAGAGAGGGAGGAAGAGGAGAGAGGAGGAGGAAGAGAAGAGGAGGAAGAGGGAGAGAAGGAAGAGGAGAGGAGGAGGAAGAGGGAGAGAAGGAATAGGGAGGAGGAGGGGAAGAGGGAGAGGAGGAGAAAGGGAGAAGGGAGAAGAGAGGAGGAAGAAGAGGGGGAGGAGGAAGAGGAGAAGAGGAAGAGTAGCGACAGGATAAGCATTTTCAGGGATTCTGCATTTGAGGAAAAAATCCTGTTAGTTCTGTCCAGCTCAAGGAGTGAAAAGAGGTTTAGCCCCTGGACTGCTTTAAATGCCTTTCCTCTGACGGTGGCCATCTGAAGAGCTTCCCTAGCCCAGACATCAGAACCAAAGAGTGGGTGGAATATGGTCCTAGGAGTCAGGACAAGAGAGACCTAGTCACTAGTCACTAGCCACTGCCTCCCCCTCCCCCTTCCCTTCCCCGACATCCCACCCCCCTCCCCTAGGATTGCTAAGAAAGGCCCCAGGGCCCTGTGCATGCTAGGCAAGCCTTATCACCCTCTCAAGTACCTTTATGATCCGAATTAACATACCTAGGCCTTATTTAAATCTGTAAAATAATGAAGCTGAACTAGATGGTCATATATATATATATATATATATATATATATAATCTTTAAGCGGTTGTATATATGGATATTATATATAAGTGTGTGTATGTGTGTGTGTGTGTTGGTTCTGGGCTTGAACTCAGGGCCTGGGCACTGTCCCTGAGCTTCTTTTGTTCAAGTCTAGTGCTTTACCAGTGAAGCCACAGCTCCACTTCCAGCTTTTTCTGTGATTAATTGGAGATGAGTCTCCAGGACATAACTGCCCAGGCTGGCTTTGAACCATTATCCTCAGATCTCAGCCTCCTGATTGGCTAGGATTATGGGCATGAGCCACTGGTGCCAGACTTATATATCATCTTAAAGTAGTAGTTTCCCTTCAGCAAAGCAGTTTATGAATGCAATGCATCTTGGACAATGTCACCAACATTTTCATCCATCCCGCCCAACTCACCCTTTCCTTCACTTCTTTTAATTTTGTAGGATAGTCAATTTTTCTTTCCTCCTCCTCCTCCTCCTCCTCCTTCTTTTTGTAGGCTGGTGTTCTGCCATCTGAGCCGTACCTCCAACCCAAGATATTTTCCCAACTATTTTTTGCCTCCTGAATTTTTACATTGAATTTTTGACTGCGTTGTTCCCACCCACTTCTACCCTAGAGGATCTTTAAGACTCTTGCACATCTGAGTCAGTTACTTGAGTAATCTCATGCAAAAGCTAGTGTCTGTGTTCAGCTTTTGCTTCCTAGTTTTCCCTAGCTTGCTTTCTTTTAGAATGTTTGCTTTTCTTTCTTATTAGCTTCTCTACTTTGCTGTCTTCCATTTGTTTAGTATTTGACCTCTGCCTTCCCTACCCACCCCCCTCTATTTTATTTTCCTTTGGCTATCTTATTTCTACTTTGCAGAGGGAAGTCTTGAACACTCAGGATGCAGTTTGATGTGAGGCGCAGGCAGCCAAGGAAACAGTACAATGCAACACCCCAAATAATAATGTGGGAAGGAGACACCTAAAAATAAGAGAAGGAGGTGTGAATTATGTAATGGATGGCACAGCTTTTGACGGGCAAGCTGAGAAAAGTACATGGCTAGGGGGTGAGGTTGGCAGGAATATAAATCGCATCAGATTTATTTACATGGCCTACGGAAGTTGAGAGAGATAAAACGTGACACATCAGTAAGAGGAGAGCTACAAAAAGGTGACATTGCCTCAGAAGCTCAAAATATTTAAATTGACTTTGGAGAACAAGAAGGGAAGGGACTAGAAAGGAAATGTCAACAAAAGTCAATCATTCCATTCATTTGATGGATAAATCATCATTTAAAAAAAAACTGATGTCTTGAAAATGAGTAATAGTTACTTTATTTTGATGTCAAGATTAATGCAAATAAGGGTTTTGTTTGGTATTGGTTTTTGTGCTGGGACTGGGACTTGAACTTAGGTTCTAGGCGCTGTCACCTAGTTTTTTCTGCTCAAGGCTGATACTCTTAACACTTGATCCACACCTCTGCTTCTGGTTTTTTTGGGTGGTTAATTGGAAATAAGAGTCTCACAGGCCTTCTGCCTGGGCTAGCTTCCTGAGTAGTTAGAGATGTAAGCCATAGGCACCTGGCCGTAAATGAAAGGAAATGGAAACACTAAATATCATAGTTTGATAGCCAGCATCAAACATCACTGACATTCCATGTGTTCTGTTTTTAGGATTCAGGGTTAAGATTTCACTACGTTGCTGCTGGAGAAAGAGGCAAACCACTTATGCTGCTGCTTCATGGCTTTCCAGAATTCTGGTAAATTTGCCCATTGGTTTTTTCTTTTGCATCAAAACTCTATTCTGTGCAGTGATCACAGCGTGCCATTGATGGTGTAGATTCTCTTACACTTCTGGAGACTACAAAGTCAAAGATGAAAGTGCTTGTAGCCGGTAGTAAGTTCTCATTGCGTCATCCTATGGCAGAAGCTGGAAGGGCAGGGATGCAGGATGAGACCTTGTCCTCTTAGATCGGATCCCTCGTGGCCTCTTAGGGGTTCCATTTTTTAATACAATCACAATGGCATTCAGCTTGAGTTTTGGAGGGAGCAAACATTCAGACCATAGCCCTTACCACGAATTTTTTTTCTTTCAGAAAACCATCTTATTTGCACACAGTAATAGTGGAAGGGAGCTTTCACTGCTATAACTCCATAGATATGCTCCAGACAAGTTCATTCCCTCTATTAATGTCCATATAACTTCTTCCTCCCCTCCTCATTTTTCAAATGGCTTTAAACAGAATAATCATTTCCTTGTAATCACTTTTGCCGTGTCTATGAACACTCCCGCATGTTCCTGAACCACAACAATGGTTTTCTTCTTAAAGAAACATACATACACTGGGCACTGGTGGCTCACACCTGTAATCCTAGTTACTCAGGAGGCTGAGATCTGAGGATCGCAGTTCAAAGCCAGCCTGGGCAGGAAAGTCCAAGAGACTCTTATCTCCAATAAACCACCAGAAAACTGGAGGTGGTGCTGTGGCTCAAGCAGTAGAGTGTTCGTCTTGAGCTGAAGAGCGCAAGGACAGCACCCAAGCCCAGAGTTCAAGCCCAACAACCAACAAAAAAAAAAAGAAAAGAAACCTACATACTAGCCAGGCACCTGTGGCTCCTGCCTGTAATCCAAGCTACTCAGGAGGCTGAGATCTGAGGATCTCTCAGTTCAAAGCCAACCCAGGCAGGAAACTCTATGAGACTCTTATCTCCAATAAATCACTAGAAAACTGGAAGTGGCGCTGTGGTTCAAGTGGTAAAGCTCTAGCAGTGAGTTAAAGAGCTAAGGGACAGTGCTCAGGCCTAGAGTTCAAGCCCCATGACCAACAAAAAGAAAAGAAAGAAAGAAACCTACATACTACCATCCTAAATTTTTTTTAGTATTATAAAATATAGGTTTTAATGCCTCAGATTTCTGAAATAGTTTCCCAACATTTTCTCTAGGTTAACTATTATGGGCAAAGTACAACACTGTATTGGGCAAGTAGATTCTAAATGTTAAGAGTATAGAAAACCATACCGACATCCAAGTAGAAAGAATAAAGAAAAGGTTTATTGCTGGTAAAGGGACCAGCAAGACCCCTTCTCACAAGAGAGAAGTGAGAAGAGGTGCCAGCTATTGTCTGAGGTGACCTATATAATCTGCTAAGGCTAGGGGGGGCTAGAAGGGTCTAGGAGGCGGAGACCGGGCTTCATCATGGCGGACTAGGTTGATGGCTGCTGCCTAGGTAGTAGATAAGGGGTCTTGCAGCTACCTAGAGCTGAAGGTCACTCTAAGGGGCTCTTGTTGCCTTATATGGTGGTAGTTGCCCCAGAGGAGTGCCATCCCAAGGTAAAGGGGGTTGGAGGCTGATTATTTACTGCCTTTGCTACATAGGTCTAGTGTTGCCTAGGAAAGGAGCGTGCTAAGCTGTGGGAAGGGAGTGCTCTGGGCTAACACCAAACAAACCAAAATCTTTGAGTGTTTGTTAGCAAGAAGGTTTTGATGAGGCTTAGGGTGGGTTGGAGAACATAAAAAAGAAGACATGGGGTGGGAGGCATGGCAGAGCACCTACGAATGAGTGGAAACATCTCCCTAGTTCAAATCCTGGTCTAAAAAAAGGAAGGAAAGGAAGGAAGGAAGGAAGGAAGGAAGGAAACTAATATAAACTATTTCCTGTGCACAAGACTAGAGCTCATATGAACAAAGGGTAAATTCGGAGAACAACTCCGTTTGCTTTCCATGGGGGATTTTTTTATAGGAAGGGGTTTCATGTAGGTGATGTTTATCAAAGCAAGCAAGCAAGGTTACAGAAGCAAAACAGCCTCGAGTCACAAGAACATAGGCAAAACATAATCTTGACTGGTCAGCATAATCGATACTCTCAATCCTATTGACGCTATTGATACTTGATTACAAAAAGTCAAAACATATCCTTGGATTACAGAAGTCAAAATACAACCTTGGGTGGGGGTAGTCTATTTTACAGAAATGGTTTTTATTGTAAGCTCCTGACGAATACAGCAACTCAGTACAGCTGGTGAGAAGCCTCAAGGTTATCAGTGGCTTCAGCAAAGTTTGTGGTAAACTGCAGAGCTGCCGGGCCTGGGAAGCTTGAGGGAGGGAGAGATGTTCTTTTGCTTTTTAGCAAGGATGGAAAGGGGCTAAGTCTGACCAGCAGTCAACCTCAGCTGGTCAGCCTTAGCCTGGGGTTTTTCTTTACCAAGAGGTTTTGCCTTTTATCAAAAATGTTGTTCTATTTTCTGACTTCACATTTTTGTTCCCATGGATATCCTTCTTCTCCAAGGGAAAAGGGGCTCAGGGGAGAGAAGGAGGGACTGAGGCCAGACAATAGAAGGAACTTTCTGCCAATGAATGGTAACTCAGATACCTTGAATTTTTGGTGAGGATTATCCCAAAAGTTAGAGCCATGCATTTGGCTCTGGAATTGTTAGTGTTTTATTCATGAAAGGGACTCAGTGTACAAATGTACTAGGAATGTTGGTGTGCTTAGAAGTATTAGTCCTTATAAAAAGGAATGGAGACAGGTGTCGGTGGCTCAAGCCTGTCATCCTAGCTACTCAGGAGGCTGAAATCTGAGGATCATGGTTCAAAGCCAGCCCAGGCAGGAAAGTCCATGAGACAGTTGTTTTTTTGTTTTTTTGTCAGTTGTGGAGCTTGCACTTTGGGTCTGGCCACTGTCCTTCAGCTCTTCAGCCGGTCATCATAGCTACACAGGAAGCTGAGATCTGAGGATCATGGTTCAAAGCCAGCCTGGGCAGGAGCATCTTTGAGACTCTTATGCCAGATAACCCCCAAAAGCCAGAAGTGGAGCTGTGGCTCAAGTGGTAGAGTGCTAGCCTTAAGCACAAAAATGCTGGGGACAGCACTCGGGCCCTGAGTTCAAGCCTCAGTACAGACACAAAAAATGAAAACGTTTTAAAAAGGGAATGAAGGCTACCAAGGATCCATCCTCCTCATTGTTTTTCTAGAGCAGGAAGCCTGTGGGTGCCTCTTCCTGAGAAGACTTTCCCTTCATGAAGATCCCCTCTCCGGATTTAGCTGTATGAATAAACATAAGCCATTTTCATCTGTTCTTCCATCTGGAGACAACCTAATTAGGTGGTGTAGAAAAAACTGCCTCCTGCCTCTCGAGCAAATGTGTGCAGCCTCACCTCAGGGCGTACATAACACGACTGGCTCACCATAAAGCGCTCCTTGGAAGCCGTCATCCCATCTGCCCCGAGTCACCTGGGCAGTGGATCCTGGCTTAGCCACATGGTAGTTAATTCCAAAGTCAAAACATAGGAAAGACTTGTCACATGGTCCCTAATGAATACTCCAAAAATGTGGCCGACCCCATGAGTCCCCAGTTCTAGAGATGATAATAACAACAGGCAGCATTGACTGGAGCCATGGCCAGGTATCCTCACAAGGTATTTCCATGTAGTCTCAGTGGATCATCATAGCTGCCCTTCTGAAGTCGACCATGCCAGAAAGTAAGAGTCCCTTTGTTCTTTGAAACTTATTGCTGATCTCTGTTACTTGGCCTCAGTCCAAGGCCTGATCACATACATGGATTTTTTTGTTTTGTTTTGTTTAATCCTTCCAATTTCACATCATCTACAGAGATTCAAGAAGGTGTTAGAAAGCCCAGCAACAATAAAGGAATGCCTTAACTTAAACATTTTAAATTGCCACTCTAATATCTAAATACTTAGGTATTTGCTTATTTAGGTGATTATTTAAATAAGATGAGTTTTATTTGGAATGGTGGGGATAGTGAGGGTACTTGCTTCAATAAATACCCATGCTTCTTTTCCTTCTGAAATGCTGATTTCATTATGTGTGGAACAATCTACGTAAACATAAAAATGACTCTACAAGAACTTTAACCATTTGGCAATTGTCTCAGAGTCCCAGAAAAAGACACTGATATGTATTTGATATGGGGAGGTGGGTGCTGTGTGTTTTATGTTGGGATGACAGCTTTTTATATGTCGTTCATACTATTGCTCCATTATTTACTCATTATCAGAGTCTTTTTGCAAAACTTCAATGCCTGATAATTCTTTTATTTTTCTGGTCCTGGGGCTTGAACTTTGAGTGTGGGTGCTGTCCCTGAGATCCTTTTGCTCAGGGCTAGTGCTCTGCCACTTGAACCACAGCTCCACTTCCAGCTTTTTCTGTGATTAATTGCAAAGTCTCACAGACTTTCCTGCCTGGGCTGGCTTCAAACTGCAATCCTCAGAACTCAGCCTCCTGAGTAGCTAGGCATGCGCCATCGGCACCCACCATGAAATGCCTGATGATTCTTGTACATGTCCTAGAATCTTCAGTGGCCAAAACAAACTAGGAAGGGCCCGGCACTGGCCCTAGGACATTTGCCTCATTTGCTCTAGTAGTCCAGTCCTGAATGTGTCCAAAGGGATCTCATCCTTGTGAGAATACGAAGGCTCTTTTCACCCTGTATGTTAGGAAATACACTCATATATTGGGAAGTATATGCACATTATCAATAGGAACAAGTCCCCTATATTTACCATATCCAGCCTTTCTCATTCCGGCAACAGCCTTGCTATAAATGTGAAACATCAGCACACCCAAAGAACTCAGTTGCTCAAAGAAACCACACAATGTAATGAACTATATTGACCACCAATCTGAAAGCAACCTGGTTGCTCAGAGAAAGGGTCTTAAGCAAGTTCATGCAAAGTACTGGTAGCAAAATACCTCTTTTTGACTATGTCATACCCTAAACCAAGATTTTTACCTTGATGCTTATTCATTCTGCCCTTCCTTCTCATGAGAATACATCTGTTACTGTCTTCAGTGGGTCTAGTCCATTCCACTCAGGTAATCTGGAAGGACTCAACCAAAACCTGGGATGTAAGTTTTAGGACAAATCTCTTTCTTTTTTCTTCCTTCCTTCCCTCCTTCCTTCCCTTCCTTCCTTCCCTCCCTCCCTCCCTCCCTTCTTTCCTTCCTTCTTTCCTTCCTTCTTTCTCTCTTTCTTTCTTTTTCTCTATTTCTTTCTCTTCCTTTCTTTTTCTTTCCTTCCTTCCTTTCTTTTGTACATTCTTTCTCTCTTTCCCAATTAAGTTTTGCCCAAACCCACATAGATTATAAGCTTGTTTGCCTACCTGGTGGGTCAGAAATATTTGATAGAGTGAAACAAAATGACCATTGGTGCAGTGTGTGAAAATGCTTTAGAAAGAGAGGCATGCTGGGGCTGGGAAGGTGGCTCAGTGGTAGAGCGCTTGCCTTGCATGCATGAGGCCCTGGGTTCAATTCCTCAGCACCACATAAGCAAAAAGAAAAAAGCCGGAAGTGGCGCTGTGGCTCAAGTGGTAGAGCGCTAGCCTTGAGCTGAAGAGCTGAGGGACAGCGCCCAGGCCCAGAGTTCAGGCCCCACGACCGGACCCAAAAAAAAAAAAAAAAGAAAGAAAGAAAGAGAGGCATGCCATATGAGTGTAATGTATTCGCTGCATGCATCATCACTGCCTAAGAATAGCTGTGACAAGTGGTGATATTTAATGCATTCATGGTACACAGGAACAAATCCTGGGTCTTTCTTAGAACTCAAAGGAAATAGGAAAGAAGATACACATCTGTGAGAACTTGAGCTAAATTAGCCCCAAATGAGGCTGTTTGTCTGAGGATGATTTTTTTTTCTTGAGCTCTCTTCTTTTTTTCTCTTCACCTCAATTTGCATCTCTTTTAAAAATATTTTGAGCTGACCCAAGCAATTTCTGTGAGCCTTCTCCGTCCCCAGCTGTAAGGAATGCATGTGTCATCACTCAGTGCTGAAGCAAGTACAAGGCTCTTGGTGCAGACAGCTGAGCACAGAGGCCACGGAAAGAAGCCAAGAGCAGAGACCCTTCTTTGTGATGGAGCTACAGAGGACACTTGCATCTGAAAATGGCTGCCCTTGTAAAACCTGGAGCCTTCCTACGTTAAGAGTAGTAACTAAAGCCCAGCACCAGTGGCTCATGCCTGTAATCCTAGATACTCAGGAGGCTGAGATCTGAGGATCACAGTTCAAACAGCCCCTGCAGGAAAGGCCATGAGACTCTTATCTCCAGTGAACTACCAAAAGAGAAGGAAGGAAGAGAGGAAGAAAGGAAGGAAGGGAGGGAGGGTTAGGGAGGATGGGAGGGAGGCCGGAAGGCCAGAAGGCTGGAAGTGGAGCTTATCTCAAGTGGTAAGAGCACTAGTCTTGAGCAAAAGCAGCTTAGGGACAGTACCAGGTTCTGAGTTCAAACTCCAGGACACACACACACACACACACACACACACGAGTAGTAACTGAGAAAGAGGTTAATTTCTTCCAAATACCTCTGCAGTTATCCTAAGGTTACTATCCAGAAAAAAAGCTCATGACAGTGGTGTTGTTTATTTATGATATTTTCAGGATTAGTTCTTCTGTAGCATGTTTCATTCCTGTATCAAGGGACTGTTTCTGTCATATGAATGACATGCTCACCCATCTAACACCAGAGTGACTTCAGTTAGAGATAAAGTATGAATCACAATATATTATTAGTTATAAATTCCAGGAAGGGGAAATTTGTGAAGTATTCTTCTATAATTGAATAAAATTTGCAGTTGCTTCATTTCTTACAATTATTTATGATGTTGCTCAGTTCCACTCAATGTTAACAGTCATAGGTGCTTTTGTTTTTGTTTTTGTGCTGGTTCTACAGCTTGAACTCAGAGACTTAGTGCTGTCCTTTAGCTTTCTTGCTCAAGGCTGGCACTTTACCACTTGAGCCATAGCTCTACTTCTAACATATCCTACTAGTAGATTGGAGATGCTGTAACTTTTCACAATTCCAACTATATGTGTGAGTGTGTATCTGTTATATAAGGTGATAGACCTGTATTGATCTTACTGCCTGACGTCACTTCCTCTGGTGGTCTCCTCACTATGTATGGCTCCAGAATCTTATATCCTTGTGTTTGTCTGGTGCACTTCAGAAAGTTCCAGACAAGAATCTCCTACTTAGGTTATGTCAGGTAATTTCACATGTGTTTTCCTGAACAGATGTGCATGAGCATGCTTTTGTAAGATGCAGATTTTGAGTTCTATAACAGTGAGTCGCTTTGAAAAGGCTGTATCCTTTCCAGTTATCTAAAATAATTTAACTTATTTGGAGATGATCTCTTGAGTTTCTGTGTTTTCAGTTGGTTCTGTGCTTCTCTGATGAAGTATGGAGGCATGCCTGTCTCAGCAGAGGCCTTCAGTGCTTGCTATAACATTATGGCCATTATAGCTGGTCACTGAAGGGCCATTTTGTTTGCTCAATGTTTTGAATATGACCATTGCTTGTACTTATGGCTTATGATTGACTCACAGAAGAACTTACATTGCAAACAGAGGCTTATCTTAAATGGCTGTTCTATTTGATTCTTCCAGTGACAGCCTTCATTTTCATCCTCAGGCTTTTTCTATTTATGAATAAACTATTATAATTACTAAAAACACCAAGCCCTACTTGATAGTGGGAAAAGTAAGCAAAAATCAGTTTCAGAAAATATACATAGGGCTGGGAAGATGGCTCAGTGGTAGAGTGCTTGCCTTGCATTTCTGAGGCCCTGCGTTCGATTCCTCAGCACCACATAAACAAAAAGAAAATAGCCGGAAGTAGCGCTGTGGCTCAAGTGGTAGAGCGCTAGCCTTGAGCTGAAGAGCTGAGGGACAGCGCCCAGGCCCAGAGTTCAGGCCCCACGACCGGACCCCCCCCAAAATAAATAAATAAAAATAAATAAATATTTAAAATCTAATAAATGTGCCAATTTAGAGAATCAAATAATTTTGTAGCAAATGTTCTGTTTTGTTTACATTACTCTAACCAAAGCCCTGGGCCAGATAAGTACTAAGACGTTTTGATAAAACTCTCGGAAACTCATCTGCCCTCTCCTCTCATTGTTGTAAGACTTTTATCATCCGTTTATTCTGTCTAGAAATTTAGGCTGCAGAATCTGTAACTGCTCTTAGTACAAATTCCTATGTCGTAAGTATCTTTTAAGAGAAGCTTACAAAATTTATTTATTAAATATATGTATAAGGGAGGAAGTAACAAGTTAGACAAGAAATGTACTCACTACCTTACTTATGTAACTGTCATCCTTCTGTACCTCATGTTGACAATAAAATTAAAATAAAATAAAAAGGCCTAATATGACACCAGACCAACTCAAATATATATGTATATGAAAGGATGACATCGATCAAGATGTGCTGTACTCACATTCTGACTTGTTGAACTGAAACCCTTTTGTATATTATATATAAACATACCAAGCATTGTCTGGTATTTTATAGCTTCTGTAAATATTCCATTGGAGCTGGTAGAAGGTGAAATCATTTTAGTGAAGATTATCAGCACTTCTTTCTATTTTTTTTCCTGTTGTAACATACAAATATCTAACCTTTTTGCAAAATAAGGAATTTTTACAATTTTCCACTTAATGTGACTGTTTGGGTTTTTTTGTTTTTTGTTTTATTTTGGTTGCTCATGGGGCTTGAACTCTAGGCCTGAGCGCTGTCCCTGTATTCTTCAGCTTAAGGCAAGCACTCTACCACTTGAGCTACAGCGCCACTTCCGGTTTTCTGGTGGTTTATTGGAGATAAGAGTCTCATGGACTTTTCTGCCTGGGCTGGCTTTGAACCGTGATCCTCAGATCTCAGCCTCTTGAGTAGCTAGGATTACAGGTGTAACTTGGCAACTGTTTAGTTTGGATGTTTGAGTTTGAGACAGGGATGTTTCTATTCTGACAAGGTAGGGTGTGAAGTCCTGGGTTCAAGTGACTTCTCTTGCATAACTAGCTAGGATTATAGGCATGTTCCACCATAGCCTGGCTACTGTTTGTCTGTGTTAGTTGGTGTTTTTGTTGTTTCTTTTTTTCACTGCAGGTATTCTTGGCGTCACCAACTGAGAGAATTTAAAAGTGAATATAGAGTTGTCGCATTGGATTTGAGAGGCTATGGAGAAACAGATGCTCCTATTCATCGAGAGAATTATAAGCTGGACTGCCTAATTACAGATATAAAGGATATTTTAGATTCCTTGGGTAGGTTAGTTTTTTTATGTATTAATTCTTTTTAAGGAACAATTGGCAAGTTGAGAATTGCCTTCTCTGCTTGGAAGGATGTGTTTTCCATCACTGCTGGGTGCCATCAGGAATCTGTCAGCTTAGTTTTAGCTATTTATATAGCAAAGTTACATGAACACCATCTTGAGGGCCTAGCTAAGGATGACTTTCAAATTTTAATTTTTTTAAATAGACCTTTCTAACTAAACACCAGTAGCTCACGCCTATAAATCCTAGCAACTCAGAATACTAAGCTATGAGGATCAAGGTTCAACGCTAGCCCCAGGCAGACAATACTCAAGACTCTTTATTAACCAGTAAAAAGCTGGCACTAGAGGCAGGGCTCAAGTAATAAAGCACCAACTATGAGCAAAAATGTTGAGCAAGAATGCAAGATCTTGAGTTCAAGCCCCACCACAGGCACACACACACTCTTTCTCTTTCTTTAGAGAATTGAGAAGGCTACACATACACACACACACACACACACATACACACACTCTTTCTCTTTCTTTAGAGAATTAAGAAGAGAAGGCTCCAGTCTGGGGAGAGGGTGGAATATGCCTAATGTCTTCTGTTTTTTTGTGGTTTTTTTTTTTTTTTTTTTTTGGTCAGTCATGGGCTTGAACTCTGAGCCTAGGCCCTGTCCTTCAATTCTTCAGTTCAAGGCGAGTGCTCTACCACTTGAGCCACAGTGCCACTTCTGGTTTTCTGGTGGCTTATTGGAGATAAGAGTTTCATGGCTTTTCCTGCCTGGGCTGGCTTTGAACTGCAATCCTCAGATCTCAGCCTCCTGAGTAGCTAGGATTACAGGCTTGAGCCACTGGAACCTGGCTCTGTTTATTATTTTCAGAACTAATTGTTGAATATTCATTGTTCCCTTGAGGTATTCATTTTAATATGTCATAAAGAGTCCCTGCATTGTCTCTGTAGTATTGATCAGCTATAATTATTGTGTCAGATATTCCCCAAGGTCAGTGTCACACACCCATGGTCATATATTCCCGTGTTCGTGCATGTTCATAGCCATCAAGAGATAGTAGCAGAGCACCTGGCCAAGTCTCACACCAAAGATGCAATAAAGCATACTTCTACCAGAATATCCTTGAACTCATAATTTACAGTCTGTTTCTCACAAGTGCTGGGATTACAGGTGTGTACCAACACGTCTGGTCTAAAATAATCTAATCTTCTACACTCCCTTTGACTAATGTCCTCCTGCTAACATCAGTATGTTAAGGAAACAATATAGTGAGAAACACCATGAAATCAAAGACCTTTTCCATATTGATCTAACAAGAACATATATATTTCTATAATAATCTAATGCCCATAGCCAAAATTTGAGAGAAGCAAAAATGAATGGGATCTAAAGTGTCAACCTGCAGTGTTGTTAATGAGTCTGATACTCAGATGCTACTTTTATACAGTTGGCTTCATTCAGATTTTGTGATAATTCTATCTGACCAGGCCTAATTTACCATCTCAAAAGATTTTGGGGTGTATGTGTGTGTGTTGATGGTAAGAAATTCTGAAAAGAAATAATGTAATTGTAACTATTACAGAAATAAATGACAAATTCCATCTACACAAGGAAAATCTTGTATAAATCTCTAGTAATCCATATTTTAATCCTCATGTAAATTATCATGATGATTACATGAAATGGATCTTACATAGTTATGATAATGTTCCTTAATAATAGGATTCATTCTGGGAAATACCTCGGTCAGCAGTTTGGTCCTTGTGCAAATATCATTGTATACGTATGTCAACCTAGATAGTATAAGCCATTTACTCAGTATGGCCTATTGATGCCATAGTAGAGACTTTGTGAACACAGCAGCATGAGGTTACTGCAGGCATTCCCTCAGCAGCCTGGCTTACAGCAAATGGTTTTAATTAGAGCCACTCTCTAAAATAATAATAACAGGATAATACACTAAGCATATAAACTAGTTACTAAGTCATTTATTATTCTGTACTGCATACAATGATGTCATACTTTCAGTCAACTGAGCAATAGGTTTTGTTTACATCAGCATCACCACAAACACCCAGGAATGGACTGCACGGTATTTTTTAGGACAGCTATGTTACTTGCTGATAGGAATTCTTCAGCGCCATTTTGATCTTATGGGACCACCATTATATACTCCAGCATCAATGGAAATGTCTTTCTGTAGCAGTGACTGTATGGAACTGAGGCTGTAATTAAGACTTTCTGCTAGTTTAATTTGATTTCATACTTCCCAATGAATGACTGTATTTATGACATTGGATTTATACAATTTGGGAGAAAATAGTTACTTCTTGGAAATAAAGATTTATAAAATGAATCTAAGGGCTAGGAATATGGCTTAGTGGTAGAGTGCTTGCCTAGCATGTATTAAGCCCTGGGTTCCATTTCTCAGTACCACATACACAGAAAAAAACAGAAGTGGCACTGTGGCTCAAGTGGTAGAGTGCCAGCTTGTGCAAAAGAAGCTCAGGGACAGTGCCCAGGCCCTGAGTTCAGGCCCCAGGACTGGCAAAAAAAAAAAAATTTAATTGGGACATTTATAACTTGCTATACCTAGTGATTTCTCAGTATTCAAAAGTGATTCCACATAATTTTATTTATGACCTAACTTAACTACACTTGGTCTTTACCATCGTTTCCAAATTCTGGAAATGCTTAGATGGCAATTTAAGATTAAACAAATTTGTAGACTTCCTGGCAAAGAGATTCTGAATTTCTAAGTACAACATGGAACCTGGGCATCTCAATTTTATAAAAAACTATCTAGCTGGGTGCCGGTGGTTCACGTGTGTAATCCTAGCTACTCAGGAGGCTGAGATTTGAGGATCATGGTTCAAAGCCAGCCTGCGCAGGAAAGTCTGAGAAACTCTAATCTCCAATAAACCACTAGAAAACCGGAAGTGGTGCTGTGCCTCAAGTGGTATAGTGCTCACCTTGAGTTGAAGAGTGCAGGGACAGCGCCCAGGCCCAGAGTTCAAGCCCCACGACTTTATTTTTATTTATTTATAAAAATAAATAAAAAGCTATCTAGCTGACTTAGACATACGGACAAGTTTTGGAACCACTAAACTTAATATTTTTATTTCCATTTTGATTTTTATTTATATGTCAGTGCTAAAGCTTGAAAGCAGGGCCTGGTGACTGTCCCTGAGCTTTTTCAGTTCAAGGCTAGTACTACTTAAGCCATACCACTACTTCTGACTGTTTGGGTGGTTAATTGGAAATATAAGTCTCACAGACTTTCCTGCCTGGGCTGGCTTCAAACTCTAGTCCTTAGATCTCAGCCTCTTGAGTAGCTAGGATTATAGGCATTAGCCACTGGCGCTCATCTCTCAATATATTTCTAAAAGTATATCATTTATAGAGTAAATAGGGCAGAAAGGTGGAGAAGAAGGTTCTAGAAGGAAAACGATTTTATGTGAGAAAGTGATGCACCTACTTATCTCTTTTCAGTTACATGAACATTTTTCCCCTTCCTTACAGGATATAGCAAATGTGTTCTGATTGGCCATGACTGGGGGGGTATGATTGCTTGGCTAATCGCCATCTGTTATCCAGAAATGGTGATGAAGCTGATTGCTATTAACTTCCCTCATCCGAATGTCTTCACAGGTGAGTCTGAATTTTCATTAAAACGTATCTGCTGATGGGACAACTCACTATTGTTTTGGATTAAAAATAGCAAAAATTTGGTTAACATCCTCTTTTCAAAAGTTAACTGACTGGGCTAGGAAGGTAGCTCAGTGGTAGAGCTCTTGCCTTGCATGCATAAGGCCCTGGGTTCGATTCCTCAGCACCACATAAGCAGAAAGTAAAAAAAGCTGGAAGTGGTGCTATGGCTCAAGTGGTAGCCTGCTAGCCTTGAGCTGAAGAGCTGAGGGACAGCGCCCAGGCCCAGAGTTCAGGCCCCACGACCGGACCCCCCCAAAAAAAAAGTTAACTGACTAAGCTGGGTACCCGCAGTTCACCCCTATAATCCTGGCTACTCATGAGGCTATGATCTAGAGGATCACTATTGAAGACTAGCATGGGAAAAAACGTCCATGAGCCTTGCTCTCTAGAATACCAGGAAAGAGGCAGGGCCTAGAGTATGGCTCAGGTTGGTTCAACACTGGACAAATCTTGGTACAGTCAAAATAAATAAATCATAATAGCATGTGGCAATGTCATATACCTTGGTTTGGCAACCTTGGGCTTGTTAGGCAGATGTGCAACCACTTAAGTTAGACTCTTTTTGCTTTATTTACTTTCAAGATAAAGTCTTGCTTTCTGGCTGGCTGGCTTAGGCTGTGATCTTTCCCGATGCAGCTGGGGATAACACACTTGAGCCACTGCTCCCTGCTATTGCTTGAAATGAAGTCTCACAAACCTCTTTTTGTCCAGGCTGGCCTCAAACCAATCCTCTCATCTCTACCCTCAAATTAGCTAGGATTACAGGCTTGAGCCACTGTGGTCATCAATTCGTTTTCAGGTGTTGTGACTCAAGCAAGCCTGTAATCCTAGCTACTTGGGAGGCAGAGATCAGGGGATTGCAGCTGGAGGCCAGCGTAACATAAAGTTTTTGAGATACACCATCTGACTTAATGGATAGACATGGTAGAACATGCCTGTTAGCTACAAGAGAGGCACAATGGCACTACAGTGGCACGTGCCTGTCATTCCCAGAGACACACAAAAAAATCACAAATAAGAGGACTGCAGTCCAGGCCAAGCCTTCAAAAATGACCAAAGCAAAAAGACGCTGGAGGTATGACTCAAGTGGTAGAGCACCTTCCTGGCATATACAGGTCCCCCTCCCCCAATTTAACACTTATTGCCCAAAACTTTTAAAAATATGTGCAACTAATTTACTTATTAAACCAAACATTTTCAGGAGTCTCAAAGTCCTTAAGACTATATTGTATTTGGGTCTGCAACCATACTGCTTGATGTGTACTGTATATTTCATCACATGGAGTGTTAAAAGATGAATGCTCAAAGGTTGGGAATGAAGGAAAATGACTCCTCTTTGCCTTTACACATCAGTAAGTGACCCTAGCATCTCATTGATGAGCTAGTTCATTTAGGACAGCAGGGCTAGCCGCATCGTTCACTGTACTGCTTTGATATGAGGACAGCCAGCCATTGGTTGTGGACCATCATTGCCATTTTCAACCCAGTGAACAAGACAAATAATGTCTTCATTCTGAAATGGCTCTGAACATCTGTGTCCCTTCAAAGAAACTCTACTTAGAGAACCTCTGCCTTAAAGGGAACTCAAAAATCTTAATAGTGAGCAATGACCTGTGAACAATGAGTTGGCACAGTCATAATAACGATAATGTGTTTACTCTCGTTAGGTTTTCTTTGTCTCCTTTTGTCTTTATTACATTTATATTATTTTCAGGTAGTTGCACAAAGGAGTTGTTCAACAGAGCAGTTTACAAATACAGCGCAGCTTGATGCACCTCTCTCCCCCCTTTTAGCATTGTTATGCAGCCCTCCCATTCCCACCCCTTCCCTCACTCTTCGCAATTTTGCAGGATATACATTGGAGTCAGGTTTAAGCACTGCTGAGATCTGCAACACCCTTTTAAGAAACAAAAATTCAGAGAAACATATTTCTATTTCTTCTTCGAAATTAGTGCCTGGGGAAGAAAGGGGCTTCAGTGACTACATTAAGTGCACACTGTAGGTGTATCTCAAGTTCACCTGAGGCACAGCTTCGCCTGTGCAGACCCTTGAGGCCCAGTAAAATAGCTGCTTAGGGTGCAAACACCCTGAGATGAGATTCACTTTTCTCCACTGAACTAGGCACCAAAGCCATATGTGCTGGAGTGGGGTTTTTTTGGTAGCAGTAATGTGTAGGTAAACAAACTGATGATTTCAGCAAGAATATTCTGGAACTACATTCTTAATTGCATCAGATCAATAAGATGTTTTCAGTAGCATGCCTGCATTTTTTCCTATAGTTAAATCTCTTAATACAGGAGTTATTCAATGAGGACTTCACAAAAGTCTATGAAAACAGTGCTCAACTCACCTAAAAATTATGTCTAAAAACTCTAAACTGTGAGTTGCACACCAGTGGCTCAAACCTATAACCCTAGCTATTCAGAAGGCTGAGATCTGAAGATCACAGTTCAAAGCCAGCCCAGGTATGAAAGACCTGAGACTCTTACCTCCAATTAACCACTAAATAGCTGAAAGTAGCATTGTGGCTCAAGTGGTAGAGTGCTAACCTTTAGAAAAAAAAAAAAAAAAAAACCCTCAGGAACAGAGCCCTGGCCTTAACTTCAAGCCCTAGAACTGGCAAGAAGAAACAAAAACAAACTCCAAAAAAAAAGCCCAAAATTCCAACGATGAATATCATTACAAAGTTAAGAGGAAAAGAACATAGAGATTATTCTAAAGAAAAATATAAAGAATCTTACTTGTGGATCCTCTTTTAGGATCTGGGTGAATGTCCTTAGAGGTCTTTCAATATGGAAGTAGCATACCTTTTGAATGAAGTCTAATCTGGCATTTTAATTTCAGAATACATTTTACGACACCCTGTCCAGCTGTTCAAATCCAGCTTTTACTACTTCTTCCAAATACCCCGGCTTCCAGAATTTATGTTCTCAATAAATGATTTCCAGGTAAGTCAAACAAATAACATTATTAATCATGCTTTAATTTTCAATTAAAGCCCATTTTTTAGGATGAAAACATGGAATCAAAAAGTTAAAATTTAATAAATAGGTTTAAGGACATGCTTGTTTTTTGTATTGTTTTTACCGTTTCTGTTCATGTAATGAAGAGAGCTTGTGAGAGCCTGTACTCCTGTAGGCTGAGCTTTTGGTAAAGAAGGGTCTCATAGAGAGATGAGGGCCGAGAACACCAGGTGAGAAAATTTGAAGGCAGCAGAAATAGAAGCCCTACGGAACAAATAAAACCCTTTTAAATGCAGTACTAGGTAGCTTTTGGTGTGTAAGTATCCTGGATGCTTTTTGAATTCTTGTCACAACACAATGGTGTTAGATATTGAAACAATCAAGCTCATTGGGGAAAAAAAAACCATCATTTTACTAGAAATAATTCTGGGTATATCTCTCTGACAGATGAGTGCTTTTTAAATTTTAATCATTTATTTTGGTTTCGGAGAAATGAAGCCAGCACCTCACATATGCTAAGCATCTCTCTGAGCCACACTCAGTCAAGAAAGGATTTTTTTTTCCCCAGCAAGGAGAAATTTCTTTCTATGCAGAAGGGTGCACCATAGCCAGAAATCTGGTAAGCCAGCCCACAGTGTAGGCAGTTGGCTTCGGTATTTATTGCTAATGTAGCAGGCCCTGCTCCTCTGCTCAGATTGGTTAAGCCTCAGGTTCACAATCTGCTCATGATTGGCTAGTTTGAATGAGGTGAAATGCATTTTTATAAGGTGATTTTGAGATAAGATGAACAGTATACAAGTAATCTCAAAATATACCCACACTCTCTTCTGTTCCTTTTTATATATGTTTTATTGTTACTGTAGAGGTTATATACAGGGGGGTTACAGTTACATGAGTCAGGTAATGAGTACAATTCTTCCCCATCCCTCGCTCTCCCCGTTTTTCCCTACCGTCCCCACAAACAAGATGTACACTTCATTTTCCACAGTGTCTAGTGAGTATCTGTTGTATTTGTTCACCCTTTCTTCCACCTTTTCTGTGCCACTCCTTACCCTCCTAAGACAAACAAGAAAAAAGGAAATGAAAACAAAAACAGCAACTAAAAAAAAAATCTCGTTTCCTTTTCTTAGAGTTTATCTCATTAAATACTATTTATATGATCATATGCACATAGCTGTAGAGCCTTTGTGATCTACTCCTTTCACCTCACTGTGTGAAAGACTTGTTTAATTTATCATATCCCAGTGTATTTTTTTAGATCATTGTGTTTACTTGGAGATGTATAAGCACATTCTTATTACCACAAATAAGGGAATCTGTGCAACTTACGTTTCTTTGGATCTGGCTTACTTTGCTTAATGTAATTTTTTCCAACTCTTTCCATTTCTGGTAATTCCATTGTGTCTATACACATTTTCTTGATACATTCATCCACTGAGGGGCATCTGGGTTGGTTCTCTATCTCGGCTATTTCTTGAACAGTCTGAGGTATGTCCTAATTCCACCTTGAATAGAAACCAGTTTAAGACAAAACCTTACATTTCAAAAATTCTTTTTGTAAAGAAGGGATTTTTTTTCACCTGATCCCAGTGACACTTTAAAAACCTCACAAAACCAATGGCAATTCCTTACTGTCATTTAGCACCTATTCAGATTCCCTTAATGCTTTTGTCTTGTTACATTTTATTTTAATCAAGAACAAAACAAGGCCCATACATTGTACATTGTTATTACAGCCTTTTTAAGTTTAATTTCATGTACTTGTTTATCTATATATTTACAGACAGGACTTTATTCCCAGATTGGCCTTAAACTTCTGGTCTCTAGTCCTTCTGTCACAGCCTTCCAGTGTAGCTGACACTATATAAGCACAGGCCACCACCCTGAGCTGTTAGGCTTTTAAACTTTATTAAAGTTTCCTTTTTTTCTTTTGATTATTTGTCCTAAGGGAGGGCCCCACACTTTGGATGGGATTAGTTGCCTCAAGGTGAGTTTCACCTGTTCTTCTAACCTTCATTTTCCTACTTCATTTGTTCTGCTTATCTAGGAATATTTCTTGATACCTAAGACATCACCAGCCCTGAAGTATGGGCTCCTGGGTCATCCCCGTCCAAACAAACATCCCTGACAACTTTTCAACAAATGGATGTTACTATGCAGGAATCATGATAGCTTAGGCCTACTATTTTATAGCAATGTGAAAAATGGTGATTTCCTAGTTCTATTTTTATCTTCTTTTTCAGTACTGGGGTTTCACTCAAGGCCCCTCACTCGTCACTTGAACCATACCCAAATTCTGCTGCATTTTTAGTTTGTTTTTCAGATAGGACCTCATGTAATTTGGCCCAGGGTTGCCTATTTCTGCCTCATGAGTAGCTAGGATTTCAGGCATTTGTCATTGTGCTCAGCTCCATTGCTTTCTTTTAAAAAGAACAATATTTTCCCATATGTTTTAGTTGGTTAATAAATTAGATAAATGTTTTTCCCCCTTTTACTAACCAGTTTTCAGCATAAAGAGTGTACTTTTGATATATGCCAATCAATTACAATTTTTTTTTTGGTTGGTCATCGGTCCTTGAACTCTGGGCCTGGGTGCCGTCCCTGAGCTCTTCAGCTCAAGGCAAGCACTCTACCACTTGAGCCACAGAGCCACTTCCGGTTTTTTGGTGGTTAATTGGAGATGAGTCTCATAGACTTTCCTGCCAGAGCTGGCTTTGAGCCAAGATCCTCATATTTCAGCCTCTTGAGTAGGTAGGCTTACAGGCATGAGCCACTGGCACCTGGGTCATTATTCTTTTTTGTTTTGTTTTGTTTTTGGGGGGAGTCCGGTCGTGGGGCCTGAACTCTGGGCCTGGGCACTGTCCCTCAGTTCTTCAGCTCAAGGCTAGCGCTCTACCACTTGAGCCACAGCACCACTTCCGGCTTTTTTCTTATGTGGTGCTGAGGAATCGAACCCAGGGCCTTGAGCATGCAAGGCGAGCGCTCTACCACTGAGCCACCTTCCCAGCCCTGGGTCATTATTCTTATTGGTGCTCAGATTTTTCCAGATTAGAGAAGTGGAATCCCTGTAAATTGGCTACCATTTCCTGTTATATATCCCTTAAATCAGTGACAGTGCTTCTTTCAGAGGAATTTGTGTAAATGTCACTTGGTACCTGACACTTTCACTCACCTCCAGCTCTGTTATTCATGAGTTATTTTTAGGGTGGGGGCTTGCTTCCCACCTGGGCCCACACCTGGAACGTGTTGCACTGACTGTAGACTTCTTCTTCTTGTTGGGATCATGGGTATGTGCCACTGCATCCAGTCTCTCTCTGTGGCGATGACATCTTACAGATGTTTCTGCCTGGACTGACCATACATCATGATCCTCCTAAACTCAACCTCCCGTGTTGTTGGGATGACAGATGTGTGCGACTACAGCCCAGCTTGGTTTTCTTTTTCCACTTAACCATATGTCTTGGAGATCACTCCAGAAAAGTATCTTTATTCTTAGGGTAGTAGGATCTTAGAACATTGCTGTTGCATGTACTGCTATATTGAATTTTATTTGACCCATCCCCCACTGATTGGTATTTGCTTCTAGTCAGTGTGTGTGTGTGTGTGTGTACCAGTACCAGGACTTGAACTCAGGGCCTCCACCTCTCATTCAGCTTGCTTGCTAGCTTGATGCTCTACTATTTCAGCCATGCCTCCTGCCTAGCTTTTTGCTGGTTAATTACAGATGAAGCCTGATGGACCACACAGGCCAGCACAGTCTGGCTTCAACTGTGATCCTCTAAATCTCAGCCTCCTCAGTAGAAAGGAATAAAGGTGTGATTCACCAGTGCCTGGCTCTTCAAGTCATTTCTATTACAATTAATCACGTATGCGATGTCATGTCATATTTTTGCAAGTGTGGTTTTGGAGTGAGGGATTTCTATTGTAATCCTAGGTCCTAGTTATTCTGTTTATTTACACGTATAGAAATGATGCATAGAACAGTGCTTTTCAAAGTTGGGGGGTGGGGCAGGGTATGAAATCAATGTCGTAGCTTGCAATTAGAATTCATAAAGAACTAAGCATAACAGAATTGAGTTGAAAATATCAGTGTACATTATAAGAATAAGAGCTGTTTACCTGTTTGTTGTTTATATTTATGAAGTGGGTCAGGCTGTGGAAGGCATTGGTTACTCTGGGAATGCTGGTAAATCATAGTTGGGATATAAAGGAAGGTTTTTTTTTTTGGTAGGACTAGCACTTGCGCTGGACCTTGTAGTATACGAATAGACACTAAGAAGACAGGATGCTTTGTCATAAGGTGGCATTTTCAAAGGCATTTGAAGAAATGCATAGGATGCATCATGAACAATGAGGCTTCTCACCCCGCTGGCTGGGAAACCCACCATTCACTGTACGACAACCCCCCCCACACCCCGCTTTTAGAGTCAGTGATTGAGTTTATTTGACAACTGAGAGGCTTTCTTTATTCCCTGTTCACTTATATTAGGCTTTGAAACACCTGTTTACCAGTCAAAGCACAGGCATTGGACACCGAGGCTGTCGATTAACAACAGAAGATCTTGAAGCTTATGTTTATGTCTTTTCTCAGCCTGGAGCACTAAGTGGTCCAATTAATCATTATCGAAGTATTTTCAGGTCAGTATAACTTGATTTTGGTTAAGTAAAATATTTCTATTTGGGAAGTAGAGCATGGTTCAAGTGGTAAAGTGCCAGCTTTGAGCACAAAAGCTAAGGAACAGCATCCAGGCCCTGAGTTCAAGCCCCAGTACTGACACACATAAAGTTAATTATAAAAAACTTTTAAAAGAAAATGCACACTATTTTCAGCACATAAATTATTTCTAAAGACTGATTACATAGTGGACTACAAAGTAACTCTTAGCCAGTACCAAAGAATTATTATCCTATGGATTAATATTCTTTGAACACAATACAGAAATTAAAAATAATGTTGGAGAGAACTTTGTATTTTCAGAAATTTGTAAAACACTACTGTGTCTAGAAGAAAAACAAAACTGCCTGCTTTTCCTCTTCTGTCACAATGCAATTAAGACTGAAGATTTCTCTGACTCCAAGTGTGGGAATTTCTCCCCATTAATAAACAAACAGGCCAGCCTTCTGTGGCTGATGCCTATAATCCTAGCCACCCAGGAGGCTAAGATCTGAGGTTCATGGCTCAAAGCCAAGCTAGGCAAACAAGACTGTTAGAATCTTATCTCCAATTAACCAACAAAAATAGTGGAGGTATGACTCAGGAAGAGAGTGATACCCTTGGGCATAAAAGCATAGGGACAGTCCCTGAGTTTGAGCCCCAGAACCACCTTCCCCCTACACACACACACACATACACACCTTTAAACTTCTTTAGTTGTGCAGATTGATTGCCTAATGAAGTTTTTTTCAAGTATTTTTTCATTAGCACTTCCTTTATAGACTTTAGTTTTCCCTCATCACCCTTAACCCACAAAATGTTCATGTATGTTTATATACTATATGTATATGCATATTTTATATTAAGCAAACAAAGTAAAAGTTATCACCCCTTTTGTGAATGCATGGCCTGATGGAACATTCATTTTTATAATGAATCCCAAGCTTGTGTATTTTATTTTTCTAGCTGCCTGCCTCTCAAGCATCACATGGTGAACACTCCAACACTACTCTTATGGGGAGAGAAAGATGCATTTATGGAGGTAGAGATGGCTGAGGTCACCAAGATTTATGTGAAGAACTATTTCAGACTGACCATTTTGACAGAAGCTAGTCACTGGCTTCAGCAAGACCAACCTGACATCGTAAACAAATTGATATGGACATTTCTAAAAGAAGAAACGAGAAAAAAAGAGTGACTTTTCTTTATCTTCTAGGGGGAAGAGGACTGTATTGAAATTTTGTTGTTGCTGTTTGTTTTTCTTGTGCCAGTATTGAGGTTTGAACTCAGGGCCTTGCACTCTTACTTGGCTTTTTTCACTCAAGGCTGGTGCTCTACCACTTGAGCTACCCTCCACTTTCAGCATTGTGCTGGTTAATTGGAGGTAAGAGTCTTTTGGGTTTTTCTGCCTGGGCTGGCTTCAAACCATGACCCTCAAATCTCAGCCTTTTGAGTAGTTAGGACTACAGGAGTGAGCCACCAATGCCCAGCGTGAAATATCGTTTTTAAATTTTCATGGACTTCTTTACATTTTATTAGGAAAAAAAGTTTTAATATGCTTTATGATAAATAAATATCCTGAAGAATGGTATCAGAATATCTGAGAATGTGTGAATATGTAATATAATTATATCCATTTGCTGTATTTTGCACAGAACAAGGTCTGCCTTAAAACTGCTACAACTTGTACACAAAGGAAATCAGGGAAAAGTAGCTCCCTTTTGGTTTCTTGCTTTCTTTGCCCTGTAAACATGTTGTGCCTTTCATAAATGTATGTTAAAGCTTAGCTGCTGCATATTATAATAGGCAAATCTGCAATGAAACGAACTGTTTTATTGTTAAAGGATTCTTTTTTTACTGTTTTTTTTACCCATTAAATTATATTATCAAATCTGTTGGATTTACAAAATATGTATGTTTGAAAGTAAACATAACTTGCTGAATATACATCTCTAAAATGGACTCTACATACTATGAGAAGATAAACTGTTTTCTGAAGCCAAGAAATGTGAAGATTCTCATATATATGTACACATACACACATATGTGTATATGTGTATGTGTGTGTGTGTGTGCACACACAGATTTGTTCAGCATTGCAAAGCAAGGACAGATATTTACTAAATTACTGGTCTTAATTCTCCAGATTAATAACTGTGATTTAGGAAAAGGGTCCCAAATTTCTTTTTGTGTCATTTCTTACAATGAGAATTGAATACTGGGCGCTGGGAAGATGGCTCGGTGGTAGAGTGCTTGCCTTGCATGCATGAGGCCCTGGGTTCGATTCCTCAGCACCACATAAGCAGAAAAAGCCAGAAGTGGGGCTGAGGCTCAAGTGGTAGAGCGCGGGTCTACAGCTGAAGAGCTGGGGGACAGCGCCCAGGCCCAGAGTTCAGGCCCCACAACTAAAAAAAAAAAAAATTGAATACTGTACATCTATGGGCACTAGCATCATTTCTCCCTAGAGCTGGAATTTGTTGTGTTTTTGAATTGATACATACTCAGATTATGATGTATTATAGGCAACTGAAAATCTGTTTATGAATAAATGCAGTGGTCCTTCTTGTCCATGGGGAACACCTTTCAAGACCCTTATTATTAGATGCCTGAAATTGCAATTAACTGAGCTCTTTAATATCACACCTTTTCCATTAAGCACTAACACACTGTGGCTGTGGCTTTTTCACTTTGAGGTGTGGCAGCAAAATTAGCACGACTTTCTTCTTTCCATTTTCAAAAAAAAGTTCTGGTTTGGTGTAAAAAATATATATGTGTGTGTGTGTGTATATATATATATATATATATATATGTCTTGGGGCTTTAACTCTGGGCCTGGGCGCTGTCCCTCAGCTCTTCAGCTTAAGGTTAGTGCTCTACCACTTGAGCCACTGCACCACTTCCAGTTTTCTGAGTGGTTTATTAGAGATAAATGTTTCACAGACTTTCCCACCTTGGCTGGCTTTGAACTTCGATCCTCAAATCTCAGCCTCCTGAGTAGCTAGGATTACAGGCATGAGTCACTGACTCCCGTCATATGATTTTTTTTTCTTCCCAATGGAAGCCCTTCTGTGGTTTCCCTTTGGCATATTCAGATTTCCACCATCGCTATGCTCACACTTTGGGGCCATTAGTACAGTTGGAACACCAACAGTGCACTGCCAGGGCCATGTATCTGTGGATTCCATCACTGGGATGGCTACGAAGTGAGCTATTAGTAAGGGAGTCACTGGTGGGTTAAGGAGTATTCAGCTCTGATATGCTACACAAAGAGGAGGAGCTGAAATAGTGCCTGACTTCTTCATACAACTCAAACAGGCACACAAATCAAAGCTTATGATTTGTGAAATCAAACTATGGTTGAGTACAGGTACCTGAAACCACAGATAAAGCCTATTGTTAATGTTATAGCAGAAGAGTTTTTTGTTTGTTTTGGTCGGTTGCGGGGCTTGAACTCTGGGCCTGGGCGCTGTCCCTCAGCTCTTCAGCTCAAGGCAAGCACTCTACCACTTGAGCCACAGGGCCACTTCGGGTTTTCTAGTGGTTTATTGGAGATAGGAGTCTCACGGTCTTTCCTGCCTGGGCTGGTTTTGAACCACGATCCTCAGATCTCAGCCTCCTGAGTAGCTAGGATTACAGGTGTGAGCCTCTGGTACCCGGTTATAACAGAAGAGTTTACCTGAACTTCTGCTCTGCTCTGTTGAAGAGATGTAAGAGAAAGATGGCTGTGGTAACATGGAACTTTTCCTTAAGAGATCTACTTAGAACGTGGTAACATGGAACTTTTCCTTAAGAGATCTACTTAGAACGAAGTTAAATAAAGCTTAAAGAGCAGAAATGAGCCAGGTGCTGGTGGCTCATGCCTATAATCCTAGTTCCTCAACAACCTGAGATCTGAGGATCACAGTTTGAAGTCTTCCTGGACAGAAAAGTCCATGAGACTCTTATCCCTAATAAACTACTCAGAAAAAAGCCAGAAGTGGTACTGTGGTTCAAGTGGTAGAGCACTATCCTTGAGCAAAAAGCAGCTCAGAGACAGTGCCCAGGCCCTGAATTCAAACCCTAGGACACACACACACACACACTAGAAATGAACATTCAAAGTAAGAGTGGGAAGAGCCACCAGAGAGAGAATAATGACAGCCTGAGCCAGGCACCCATGGCTCATGCCTGTAATCCGAGGATTACGGTTCAAAGCCAGCCAGGCTTAAAAGTCCATGAGACTCTTAGCTCCAGTTAATCACAGAAAAAGATGGAAGTGGTGCTATAGCTCAAGTAGTGGAGTGCTAGCCTTGAGCAAAAGGAGCTCAGAGATGGCACCTAGGCTCAGAATTCAAGTCCCAGGACTGGCACAATCAAAAACAAAGGACTACCTTCATTGTCTACGGTTGTTCTCCTATAGGAGACAAATGTGACACTGCCAAATCAGGGCATGGTACAAACTACTCAGATCCCATCACACATGTTCTAATTGTGACAGAAGTAGAATGTCTCCAGGAATTCTCACTATACCATAGCAACCTGTACTGTCAACAGAAGTTCAGTTCTTCATGTACTACATTATACTGGAGCCTCGGGAACACATTACAAGGTAAGGAGTGTCATCAACTTCTAGACATGAAAATGAGTTTGAATGAGTCCCCTTGCCAGTGGCCCCAGTGTAAGCTCTGCAGCCAGAAGCTGAGCTGGATCCTTGGTGGTAAAGCCGAGGATTTCCCACCTGCATCTCATTTTTATTTATTTTAGTAGAGTGCCAGACTTGAGTGAAAAAGCTCAGGGATAGCTCCCGGCCCTGAGTTCAAACCCCAGAACTATCATAAGAATGAAGGAGGGGTGGGAAGAGGGAGGGAAGGTGGGAAAGAAGGAAGGATGGAAAGGAGGCAGGGAAGGAAGGAAGGAAGGAAGGAAGGAAGGAAGGAAAGATGGAAAGGACGGGAGAGAAGGAAGGGATCGAGGGAGCGATAGGAGGAAACATGGAAAGGGAGGGAGAGAGGAAGGGAAACGGAGGAAGAGATGGAAGCGAACATGGAAAGGAGGGGAGGGAGGAAGGAAGGAAAGAAGGAAGGAGGAAGCATATCCTCTCTGACTCTCCAGACTTTGCGGGCCCTACGCCCCCGCCGCCCCCCCTCCCGCGTCTGCCCAGCAGGGTCGTGATTATTGATTATGGGCAAACAGAAGGAGCACGGGGACGTGGAGGACGGGTGTGCGGGGAGCCAGGCCGGCCCCGAGCCGCTTGCCACCCGCCTGCAGCTGAGCCCCCCACGCCCCGGGCTCCATGGCGCTGCCCACCGGCAGCCAGAAGGAGACGTGGACGCCCAGAGTAGTGCACGACAGGACCCGCTCCCTGTTCCCGCCGGCCGTGGACAACCCCTTCCTGCAGCAGACCCGCCTGAGCCGGTGGCGCTGGGCCTCCACCATCCTCCTGGGCCTGGTGCTGGTGCCGGTACGCGTGTCGTGCATCGCCGTCCTCTTCCTCTTCCTCTGGCCCGTGGCGGCGCTGTCGGTGCTCAACCTCCCCGCGCGGCCGGCCAGGCCCCCCAGGAGCTGGCGGCGGCGCGTGACGAGGCCCGCGCTCGCCTTCCTGTTCCGGGTGGGCTTCTTCTTGGCCGGCTTCCTGGTGAAGGTGAAGGGGAAGAAGGCCAGCCGGGACGAGGCCCCCATCTTCGTCACCGCGCCCCACTCTTCCTTCTTCGACGCCATCGCCTGCGTGGTGCTGGGGCTGCCGTCCGTGGTGTCGGCCAGCCAGAACGTGCAGATCCCGGTGGCGGGGAAGTTCCTGCTGTCCACGCAGCCGGTGCTGGTCACCCGCGAGGACCCGGATTCCCGCAAGAACACGCGCAACGAGATCCTGAAGCGGGTGACCTCTTGCGAGAAGTGGCCGCAGATCCTCATCTTCCCCGAAGGCGTGTGCACCAACCGCTCCTGCCTGGTCACCTTCAAGCTGGGGGCGTTTTCCCCGGGGGTACCCGTGCAGCCCGTGCTGCTGCGGTACCCCAACAAGCTGGACACCGTGACCTGGACCTGGCAGGGCTTCACGGGGCTGCAGGCGTGCGTGCTCACCCTGAGCCAACCCTTCACCCGCGTGGAGGTCGAGTTCATGCCCGTGCACGTGCCCAGCGCGGAGGAGAGGAGGGATCCCCTGCTCTTCGCCAACGCCGTCCGCGTCAAGATGGCCAACGCCCTGGGGGTCCCCGTGACGGACCACACG